TTACTCCCCCGTAGGTGACGGTCTGATTCCTGACAGTTGCAGCGGCCTTCACCAGTTGCCTATAGGTCACTTTCTTCAGTGTTGCAGGTGCAGTACCTGCCTTGATGGAACTCAGCATGATCTTGAGTTGTGCCTTCAGGAGTCGAACTGCTGCTTCAGCTCGATTTGGCCATGGTGTATTCGGTCCCAAAGATATCGGAGTGATGTCAAGGGACTGATAGAAATGTTCCCATGTATCTGTCATGAAGGCTTGATCTGCGACAACTGATTTGGGCTGCAAGTGGTACTGGTCAAAATAGTTCCTGAGGACAGTGATGTTCTCGACTTCTTGCGTAGTTGTCACTGCCTCTGCAGTGAGCAATGTTGTTGCTCCATCCAGGATGACAAAAACAATGATGTGTTCTCCAGTTCCAAGAGGAACTTGACAGTGATCAATGAATGTCATGTCACCAAAGGTGTCCGCTCGAAGTCCGCTTGTCTTGCTTCGTGATGGTGCATGTTTCGCCACTTGGCAAACTTCGCACTCACTTCGGATCTTGTCAAATAGATCGAATGTTGATTTCGGCAAATGAAGTGCTCGGGTTCTAAATCGAAATTGATCTGTCGTCATGTGATGATGCTGCAGGTGGAGTTTCTTCAATTCTTCTGGATTCGACAATCGCTTGTGGATTCTGCCTAGGGCAAGCGGAAGCGATGTTGGTTCTTCTGAGGATGGTGCGAAAGGATCTGGCTCAATAGTCGACTGGCCCCTCTTGTCGATGATCCTGTCTGCTGCCGATCCTGAACCTGCTTCTACGTCCTTCAGCGAATTGTCTGAGAAGGTGAAAATGGTCTTACCTATCCACAGGTTAATCATTGGTTTATTTGCCAAGGGATGTAAGTCTCCAATTGTCTTCCAGGATGTCTGGATCTCCGCCCGCGGATGCATCAATGATTTCCGTGGTACGTTCTCGGCTGATGTGATCAGGATTGATTGGACATTCCTTGGCTCCATTTGGTGTGAACAGCGCCTTTCGGGGCGTGATGTGCACACGGATGAGCTGCTTGTTCTTCCTGTCAAGGATCCAATGGTCCTGCTTTTGAGACCCGATGCTGCTAGGTCCTCCTTTGTCTCGGATGATTTTGCTGCACAAACAGATTCACTCCTGGTGAGATCCCCGGAGGGAAATTTGATGCTGTTATCATCGTCATAGACATAGTTGGTGAGGCCCTTGTGAGCAATTTCTCCATGTGCCTTCACTCTTGCAACTCCAGCGAGATCGACGAGTGCATGTCCTGTACCGGATACTGGAACTGCTTGACGGTTCATGCCAAAGGCCTTGCATGTGATCTTGTCACATTGAGGTGTGTGCTCGATGGTCATGTAGAGGTTCCGCATCTGGCTGATGCTGAGAAGGATCGGTACAGTTCCTTGTTCAAGGATGTCGATGTTCGTACTGCATGGAGGAGTTGTGTGATATCGAAGATGCAGGGTCCAATTTACCCTGGCGGTCTCTCCGTTTGCAAAAGTGAACTTGGTCTCGGCCGGGATGTGCTCGTAGGAGATGATGTCCTTCATTGGTTCGATTGCCTGGGTAAAACGCTGGATTGCATGCCAGCTGCCCATAGATCTGGTACATCCGTTGTCCAGAATCGCATAGGTCGGGTTGTGCTGAGGGTTGATGACAGGCGCCATCAGCTTTGTTGCCAAAAGAAAAGGCTGTGATTTGTCGTGACGGACAGATTGTGTTCTGAAACTGCATCTGATTGGATCAGTTTCTCGTGGATGGCCTTTTTCCCAGGATACTCATATGCATCATGGAATGCCATTAACGCTTGTCCTGTGCTGGATGTCTCATGGGATGAGTACCAGCCATGTTCGTTCCATGTCCATGATTGATCCCAATCTTGGTCTGTCCAACCGGCATAGGTAGGCTCTATGGATGGTGCAGTCTGCTGGATGGCGGGCTGCTCCTCCGTCTTCTCTGCGGTGGCTGCGAACGTCTTGGATTTTCCTTTTTCTCCTGTCCGCTCTTTCCCTTGCCACTCTCATAGGATGGATAACCTTTGTTTCCATCATAGGGATATTGGAATTTTGATTTTCCTTTCTTTCCCTTCTTTCCTTTGCCTTTTCCCCAATATGCCTGGTCGTAGGGATCATAGTTTTCGTTGGCCATATTGGCCTTTCCGCCAGAACCGCTTTTTCTGAAGGGTTTGAAGCCACCTCGTTGGGGACTGCCCTTCTTGTTTCCTGATTTTCCTTTTCCTTTTCTTTTCTTGAACTTGAAGTTCCGCCCCGACACTTTTCTTGCTATGAACGCATCGTTCTCCTCGAGGACCCAGAACGTCTCTTCATCATTGTTTGACATGAATCCTTCAAGTCCTTCTTCATCCTCAACCCAGAAGCCTTCTTCTCCTTCGTATTCACCTTGTTCGATGATGAAGAATGTGTTGCTTCGGCTGCCTCCTTGAGGTCGGATGGATGGATCTTGGATCGATGTCCTCGTTGTGATGAAGAGTTCATGGTAGTGTGTCTTCAGCATCTCATAGGAATAATTCTCGAGTGAGATGTTCCTCAATGACATTGCACTTGTGAGTCGTTCTCTTTGTTGATCTGACAACTCACTTTGTATAATGAAAAACTGTGCAATGAGATTATCCCCGAAGGGAAATGCGTCCCGCTGTCTGTCCTGCATTCCTTGGATATATTGTCTGAGGACTGTAGGATCGTCCTCATTTAGCAGGGCTGGAGGCGGTGCTCGAGCACCGGCTGCTTGCTGATGTCGAGCAATTGTTCTCGCGTTTGCGTCCTGTACGGACTGTCGGAATGATGGAGACTGTGCCGTAAAGATTGGCATCAAGTCCATCCATGCTGCCTTCAATCTCATGAGAAGGATCTCGAATTTTGAGGTAAAAATGAGGAACTCTTGGTTCTGCCTTCTGTGGTTGAAGAAACTGAGGAGTCTGTACAGATACACGTTGGTCGCACCTTTCAAAAAGTACTTCTTCAGCGTGTTCTTGAAATAGTTGACTCCTTCATCAGGATCTTGCAAAAGGTCATTTTGGAGGACGGCCTTGTACATGTAAGCATCTCCAGTGAGTCTGCTCTTAAGCAATGGACCTCGCTTGGCTGCTTCTACTGTGGTGATTGTCACCCAGTCGTCCACGAGTTCTTCATACCTGAACCAGCTGACTTTTCCGTCGTACGATGGCGGCTGCTTGGCGGTCATCGATAAATTTAGTGTTTCCTGCGTGTAGCTCGGCTTTGCCGAACTTGTATAGGCTTCCATGAAGCCTTCTCCATCTGATGACATCTTCCCTTGGATCTCTGCGGAAAACCCGCTCCGCTACCACAAACGCCCACTGCCCCAGGTGCCTATCCCCGGAGGGAACTGGAACCCTGTGGTAGTTGAGGTCGTTGTTGGTCCCTGAATCTATTCCGGAGAGAGTCCAATATGCCAGTAATGGATGATTGGAGGATGGATTGTCCCTGGTGGATTGTCTGATGGATAATCCTGTAAGCGGCCTGCAATGGCTCTTTTGTCCTCACGCTCGAATGGTCGTGATTATGCAAAAGGGGCCTTGAGCCACATGTTGCGGGAGATCAATAGTCTGAGAAACAAAACACAGGGGGGGGGGCATTTGGCACCCCCAATTCCATTTATCTTCCCAGTAGGGAAAATGGAAAAAATGGAATTCCAGGGGTCACCCTCCCCCCCCAATTCCATTTATCTAGTCTTCCCAAAGGGAAAATGGAACCACTAATGGAATTCCAGTCACCCCCCTCCCCCAATTCCGTTTTGAGGGGGGATGCATGGAACCTGACACTGAGGGTCCCTTTAAAAGCAAAGTGGTCTTACAGAACCCCCCGTCAGGTTCCATGCTTGATGGGAGAGTACATGGGTAATGAAACCTATCTAAACCAGTGGAACCCATCTGTTTCTATGCAAACTCATCAAACACAAGACAACTACTGTGGATTCTGGATGGCCGAAATCCGTTCGCACCACTTTGGAGCCATGGGAAACCATTGTTTGTTGGTATTTATAGGGAGTCATCGTGCCAGGGTTTCTCACGTAGTGCAGGATTTCGTCCACCCACAGTCTGGCGGTCCAAGTTTGTCCGTGCTCCCCACGAGCGTGGCCAGAGCTTCGCTCGCAAGGGCACCTTTGGGCTCCAAGATGTACATGCGCCTGTTTGTTTGAGGGTAGTTGTGTACCACTAAAATGGTCTTCCCAAAAAGTATTTTTTATTTTTCCCATTTTTTAAACATAAACTCAGGAAGTGAGTCCTCAACAGTGGAGAGCGATTACCCTCGACTATCCAGCAGGTCCCAGCCTAGGCCCTCGATGGCCCGTATGACAGGCTTTTCGTGAGATGCGAAAACTGGACTACTTTGTGTTGGTTGGTTTCAAAGGAAAACCGAAAGGAACACCCACCAGTGTGGGGGTCTCCGGAAAAAACATCAAATGAACTGACATTTTGTCAGGCCGATTGAGGGGTCAGCACATGCGAGCGGGGAGCAAACTCTCAGCCAAAAACCTTGCAAGGAATGGTCGTCCGATCTTCCTTCCCGCTTGTGGGAGATTCCACACTACCCTAAGGGTCCTGATAGAATTTGCGGCCTTGAAACATGTCCTTTTGACACCCCTCAAGCAACGTGGGGTGTGGTACGGGGACCCCCGGCTTCTGAATCCCCAGGACCAATAGGGCAGGTGCATTTGCGCACATAGCCTGGTTGAGAATTATTACAAGCATCATTCACTACTCTGCAGCTTGCTTGTTTGATAACAATGCTTCAATGTCCGTAAATGTACAACATGTCGTGTGTGCTCATACGCGTACACATAAATAAATAAGTAAGTAAGTAAGGAAGTAAATAAGTAAATAAATAAATAAATAAATAAATCAATAAACATGTATCTTATACATACATTCTCGCACGAGTGCTGCTACTATGATGCTCGGGCTTGAAGGCCATAACGATCGATGATCCTCAACGTGAAGCTTGGCGTGCGGGCATACAATGTAGCATCGTCGAGGTGACATTGAACTCCCAGCATTCTATCCTCAGCGGCGAAAGTGGCACGTTCTCGAGCGATGAAGCGCGGGTAATTTGTCGCCCTCTCTGGAGTCTGCGAAAAAAAAAAAGGGAAAAAAAACACATAAATTCACAACGCAGGAAGCAACATATATGGCTGTGGCTCAAATAACCGGTACCCAAAATGGAACCTGGTAAGTGGAAACATGGACCAAAACCTGGGTCCCCTCCTGCTTAGTTTTGAGCCACACCCATATATGGAAAAAATTGGAAGCCCCCAAAACGCTCGGCACATGCAGCAAAAAGGCCAAGATGCCAGGGCATGTTCTTTCACATGGCCGGGGCAATCCAAAGGTCTGAAACAATCCCAGGGCAATCGATCAAAGGTTGGTCTTCACAATCCGTGTCTCAGTCAATACCAAACTCCTGCCCAGCCCGTTGGTTGCTTGACCATCGCCTGAGTCTGTCTCAGTTTAGGGAACTCCTGCTGGATGGGTCCAAAAGGAAACCCAAAAGAAAGCACCTGGGTCTCCGAACTTGGTGAACCACCCAAATCCGCCGGCCCATTCTGAAGCACACCCGCGAGACTGCGTGATAGAAAAGCGTCAAAGATGCCTCGAGTTTCCCAAAAAGCTGTGTGTTTGGAAACTCGTGATTTGTTGCAGTGTTTCTTGGACAATTAATTCCTTTGCAAAGGGGTTTGACGAAAGTTCAATCATAATTTACATACACATGCCGAACGGAACAATTCAAGTATGATGTCTATCTTAAGCTAAAGCTTGAATAGAAATCACATTTCGGCTTGTATACGCCAAGCCTTCAATTTTAAACCTTGCACCCCAATTCGACTGAAATTGCATCTCCCGGAAGTTTCTGTTGGTGGGTGCAAAACCAAAACGAACCCAGAGAGAGATAGAGAGAGAGAGAGAGATAGAAAGCCACAGGGCAGATTCGTTGATGTTGGCTGAGTCAGGGTTTGAACTTTGCTGTTGCTCTCTTATTTTTTGTCTGTGTTCTCTATGAATAGCTAGCCCAACCGCACGGTAGCAAGGACAATTCTAAAAACATGTGAAAGCCCAGACATGAGGGGCACTTCTGTCAACACTTGGACACAGCCATCATCCTCCAAGAAAGTTTGACAAGAACTTACATATGGGTGTGGGTCAAAATTCAACCACCAGGGGACCGCAGGTTGTAGTCCAAGTGCCCATTTACCAGGGTTCCATTTTGGGTACATATGTTTGACCCACAGCCATATTACTGGGATTAATGAAGTTGTGCTTCTTTTTTTGAGGCATACATAATACGCCGTGCATGACGAAGCTAAGAAACAGCTGGAATCTGGAGAACTGGGGCAAGCAAAAACGATGGCGCTGTCAATGAAAGTTGTGCTTCTCTGCAGGTGTACAAACCACCTTGGTTGCGGCGCCTGAGAAACTGAGATAGCTAGTTTGACCATGGACAGACTGCTACTTGGCTTCTTGTACAGCCAGTTAGTTGGCCAATGAATAATTGAAATATACACGTTTCTGACGGTGGACACCACTTTTCGTCCGCAAAGGCTTCACCGTTTGATGCAAGGTCGAAAGTGTGCAGAGGGCTCCACGGGCCAAGTGAAAAGCTCTAAACACGCAACTATTGAGTTTTTGATAGTTGCCGGGAAAGTCTGCACAAAGTTCACCATTTGATGGTTGCGAAACAGCCCACACGGCCACGCTACTACCACTGGCAAACTAGCGCACGAGGTAACTAGCTACATTGCCTAGCGAAGCTGAGTAGCTAAGTAACTAGCTTGGTCATAGGTGTCCTTTTAGGGGAAACAGAGGGCCCTGGTAGATGATTAAACCACCAGGTAAACCAGGGCCATCTATTTGTCTACCAAAACCACCAAAAAGGACGCCTATGAGCTTAGTCTCTGACTGGATAGCCATCTCCTAAATACCTAACCAAACCAGCTCAGTAGCTACTAGCGAGCCAAAGAGACATTTTGCCTACTCCTGAACTGGCTCACTACCTTACCATCCAACTGGCTAAGCCGCAACAAGCGGACTAGCCAATTAACTTGCTAAGTAGCTAACTCAGCTATCTAACCGGCTGACTGAGCGAACTACTTAACTCGCAAACCAGCTAGCCAGCAAGCTAACAGCGGCCAACTAGCTCGCCGGCCAGGAGTTACCAGGAAACCAGCTAACCTGCGTGCTAGCTATGTAAGTAGCTAGGCTCACCAACTAGCTAACTCTCAAACTCGTTAACTACATACCCAGCTAATAACTAGCTGGCACACTGGGACACGAAGGCAAAAAGGGGGGCTTGCATGTGCTGGCAGCTCACAGGGGGCTTGATATGACTTATCTGTTTGACACTTCCCCTCCGGGGCACTCCCGGACGTTACTGGCGGTTCCTACCCAAACATTTCGCTATGTTCGATTTTTCCGTTTGGCCTGATGTCCAAACCCCTGGTGTCTAAGAATGGGAACTGGCTCGCCCTTTTCGTGAAAGGACAGCCTTCTGGAAACCAACCAACTGAACCTTGCCAACACATCCGAAAGCTGCCCTTCGCTTCTCTCTCTCTCGCCGATTTCAGGCCGCGAAGCTGACCGGTCTGCTTCTTGTGCGAAGGCTTCCGCAACAGACCCAGCCCGGCCTAGCGTTTGCGACCCCAAAAGCGGCGCCTGAGACTCATCAATGGGAGGTGCGTCCATGTTTGTTTCGGGAACCCAACCCAAAAATAAAAGCGGCTTTCACCCACCAACAAGGGGGCACCAACTCCAGAAACGACGAGCCACCCATTGGTCAAACCCTAGCCAGAATGAGTGGTTTTCCGCTGGTTTCCCTGGAAAAGACCTACCAAACAAGGGGGCACCAACTTCAAAAAAGCTGAGCCAGCCGTTGACTTGTCCATGGTTTCACACCATCCTCCAGTGGGTTTCGGGAAGAGAACATCCTCTTTATTGGGCGAGTTGTTGCAGAATAAAACACCTCCAAACAACAACGAGCATACAAGCGCGGAATGTTTGAGGTCATGGAATCGAAGACTGTGTAAAATGTCTGCTTTCTTGAAGCCCAAACAGGGAACCCTCAAAGACGAGCCACCCATCCTTGCACCTAGCTACCGGCAAGTGGGGAGTTTAGACAGAACCATGGAATTGCACTGCCCAGGATGGTCTGACACAGATTCCTGTATCTCCTGGTTGTCGAGTTGTGGTTCTTTTCCAGAGCACCCTGGACATGCTGACCAGCTCCAAGCAGTTGGTTTGCTTTTGGTTGCCCCTTGAAATGAAAACAAAACAAACAAAAAATGGGACCCCCTGAAAACTCGACCCCCCCCCTTGCAGCCCAAAAAAAACGCCCCCCCCCCCCCCCGAGAAATCGAGCCCCCCCCTTGCAGCCAGGCACGGTTCACCGGCAAGGATTGCAACTGGCTCGCATCCAGTCCATGGCAGCTGTGAAGCCACAAGAGTGGACCAGGAATGCTCGAAGAACCTGCCGCGAACGCCAGGGACGCTGGACGCTTCGCCGGGGAAATCTCACAGCCGGGGTTGACGTTAGAGCAGCGAAGCCCTAAAGGAAGTTGCAAAATAGAACCCAAGTGTCCACCATACCGGGGGTGGGGGGGGAGGGGGGGGTGGTATCTTGGTTGAGATTGGAAGGGGAACCATTTTTTTGATTTTTTTAGCAGTTCAGTGGGGATTTCCACCACTAAACCACAAAAAGCAAGAATGTGAAATGCTTCCCAACAACAACCATGAAATCACTGCCGGGCTTCTTCGGAGCAGCGAAGCGACATCCAGCGGTATTGGCCCTAAGGAAGTTGCAAAATAGAACCCAAGTGTCCACCATACCGGGGGTGGGGGGGGAAGGGGGGGTGGTATCTTGGTGGACATTGGAAGGGGAACCATTTTTTTGATTTTTTAGCAGTTCAGTGGGGATTTCCACCACTAAACCACAAAAAGCAAGAATGTGAAATGCTTCCCAACAACAACCATGAAATCACTGCCGGGCTTCTTTGGAGCAGCGAAGCGACATCCAGCGGTATTGGCCCTAAGGAAGTTGCAAAATAGACCCCAAGTGTCCACCATACCAGGGGTTGGGGGGGAAGGGGGGAAACGTTGGAAGTCAAGTCTTCCAATAAACTAGCAGTCTTCCAACCTTGGAACCATGGATGAGTAATGAATAGGAACTAGGAGTCACAATCCCACCGCTTCCACTTGCCTCCAGTGGGACTGCCCCCTGCCCCCTTAGAGTCATGACCCTCCAAACTCACACCCCTCCAACGCAAACCCCAAAAAAACCCTCAGAGGCCCTTGAAAAAACCACCCCCGTGTTCGAGGGCCCAAAAACCATCGACGGGCAGAAGTAACAGATGTCGGTTTGGCACAGTTCTGACTCCAAGGAATGGCCGAACCTCAAGAAAGCCGACTCGATGCTTACATTGGCTGCACTTGCTTGTAAGCGCCCAATGGAGAAAACCAAGCGGAGGAAGAAACAACAGATACTCCCATGTAGTGAAATCGGTTCATTTCAGCAAATGGACGACTGCAAAAGAAAGAATTTTCCCCCAGGCGGCGTCTCTGTCCGCCGCCCCCGCTCCCGCGGTTCCAACTGCCGACGTGCGACGAAATCGTCGACTTTCGGAGCCTTTTATTGGGCCGGGTGATGCCTCGGCAGCGAGACGACGGTGGGGCCGAAAGGAAGGGCTCCCGAGCCATTTCCCCGCTAAACTTGGGCGCTGTAGATCCCCCAGCAAAAAGTTTAACTTTTTGCTGGTAAAAAAGGAAATGTGAAGGGAATCCAAAAAGTGAAAGTCTAAAGATCCAACCCAATAGCGGTAGAGTAAAGCATCACCTGAAAGGGACACTCACTTTTCATGGTGGCGAAAAAAGAGAGGTTTATAAAACCGCCATGAAGGGAAACATAGGGACCCCTGCGAAAGGACGGGTCCACGGATTTGCCCAAAAGGCAACATGGGGTTGTGAAAAAAACCCGTGTCAATTGAGAATTCAATTGAGCTGTGCCCCGAACGTGTTATCGTTCTGTTTTACTCTTATCGCTTTGCAGGGGTTTCACTCTGTAGCGCGAGTCTAGCATAGGAACTGGACTTCCGCAGCTATCGCGAATTTGTAGTACAAGTCTAGTACGCGAAGTACACTTCCGCAGCTCGAGCTGGGAAATCGCAACTTTGTAGCGCATGTCTAGTACGCGAAGTACACTGCCACAGCTCCAGCTGGGAAGTCGCAACTTTGTAGTACAAGTCTAGCACGCAAAGTACACTGCCACACCTCCAGATCGGAAATCACAACTTTGTAGTACAAGTCTAGTACGCGAAGTGCACTTCCGCAGCTCGAGCTGGGAAATCGCAACTTTGCAGCGCATGTCTAGTACGCGAAGTACACTGCCACAGCTCCAGCTGGGAAGTCGCAACTTTTTAGTACAAGTCTAGCACGCAAAGTACACTGCCACACCTCCAGATCGGAAATCACAACTTTGTAGCACAAGTCTAGTACGCGAAGTGCACTTCCGCAGGTCGAGCTGGGAAATTGCAAGTCTAGTATGCGAAGTAGACTGCCACAGCTCCAGCTTGGAAATTGCAACTTTGTAGTACAAGTCTAGTGCTTCGTCCGCAGCTCGGAAATCGCAACTTTGTAGTACAAGTCTAGTACGCGAAGTACACTTCCGCAGCTCCGTACGCGAAGTGCACTTCCGCGGCTCCAGCTCGGAAATCGCAACTTTGTAGTACAAGTCTAGCACGCGAAGTACACGTCCGCAGCTCCAGCTTGGAAATCGCAACTTTGTAGTACATGTCTAGTACGCGAAGTGCACTTCCGCAGCTCCAGCTTGGAAACCAACTTTGTAGTACACGTCTAGTATGCGAAGTACACCTCCGCAGCTCCACCTCGGCAATCGCAACTTTGTAACACAAGTCTAGTACTTTGTAGTACAAGTCTAGCACGCGAAGAACACTTCCGCAGCCCCAGCTCGGGAAGTTGCAAGTTCGCAGCTCCAGCTCGGAACTCGCAACTTTGTAGCACAGGTCTAGTACCGAAATACACTTCCGCAGCTCCAGCTCGGAAATCGCAACTTTGTAGTACAAGTCTAGCACGCGAAGTACGCCTCCGCGGCTGTAGCTGGGAAATCGCAACTTTGTAGTACATGTCTAGTACGCGAAGTACACTTCCGCAGCTCCAGCTTTGGAAATCGCAACTTTGTAGCACACGTCTAGTACGTGAAGTACACCTCCGCAGCTCCAGCTCGGAGGTCACAACTTTGTAATACAGGTCTAGTAAGCAAAGTACACTTCCGCAGCTTCAGCTCAAAAATCACAACTTTGCACAGCTGCAGCTTGAAAATCGTGACCGACACCCTCCAGCACCCCCCAATGGCTTCCCCTGCAACCCAAAGGACCCTGAAAGGTCACTTGTATCATTGCACAAATTGCACTAAGTACAGATGAGTGATACTTGATAGCAAATTGCTTTTGCAGTCACTTAGGCATAAAGTGACATCGTTTTACCCAAGATCGATGTGCCGGCAATTGGCCAAGGGGAGAGCGGCAAATTTGAGGTTTGGAGGGCAAGTTTGAGGATTTCTTGAGGAGCGCGTCACGGCGTGTCACGGCATGTTGGGGGGTGGCCAATTGCCGGCACATGTACGTTGAACGGTCACTTTTTCGGGATATGAGCGTGTCACCAGCGTGTCGCCCCCCCCCTCCCCCCCCCCGTAAGAGGGAAGATCATGTACTATGTGGTTTGGAGCCGTGTGAGCGATTTATTGAAGTTGCAAGCTCTAGTTTGCCAATTTAAATACCCATGATTTAAGTTGCAAGCTCTAGTTTGCCAATTTAAATACCCATGATTTAAGTTGCAAGCTCTAGTTTGCCAATTTAAATACCCATGATTTAAGTGACAAGCTCAGTTTGCCAATTTAAATACCCATGATTTAAGTTGCAAGCTCTAGTTTGCCAATTTAAATACCCATGATTTAAGTTGCAAGCTCAGTTTGCTAATTTAAATACCCACGATTTAAGTTGCAAGCTCTAGTTTGCCAATTTAAATACCTATGCTTTCAGTTGCAAGCTCAGTTTGGCAATGTAAATAACCACGGCTGAACATGCAAGCTAAGTTTGCTGATTTAAATGGACCCCTCTTTTCCAATTCAAATAAATTGAATAACTTAAATAATTTAAGTAATTTAAGTAATTTAAATAATTTCAATAATTTAATTAATTTACATAATGCAAATATTTAAATTATTTAAATTATTTGAATTTGCAAACCTCCCTTTTCCAATTGAATTAATTTAAATAATTTAAATTATTTACATAATTCAAATAATTTACACAATTCATTTTTTTCAATTAATTTAAAGTACTTGAATTGGCAAGCCCCACTTTTCCAATTCAAAAAGGTTTAATAATTTTAATAATTTGAATAATTTAAACAATTTGAATAATTTAAATGTTTAATCAATTTAAAGTAATTTGAATTGGCAAACCTCCCTTTTCCAATTCAAATAATTTAAATAATTTAAATAATTCAAATATGTTGATTAATTTAAATTAATTGAATTGGCAAACCACCCTTTTCCAATTCAAATAATTTAGATATTTTCATTAATTTAATTAATTTAAATAATTTAAATAATTTAAATAATGTAAATAATTTAAATAATTTAAATAATTTAAATAATTTAAATATCTTAATTAATTTAAATTTTTTGAATTGGCAAACCTCCCTTTTCCAATTTGAATAATTTAAATAATTTAAATATTTTGATTAATTTAAATTTAGTGAATTGGCAACCCTCCCTTTTCCAATTCAACTATTTTAATTAAATTGAATAAATTAAATAATTCAAGTAGTTCAATTAGCTTAATTGTTTTAATTGGCAAACCACTCTTTTCCAATTCAAATGATTTAAATAATTGAAATAATTGAAATAATTTCAATAATTTAAATAATTTAAATAATTTAAATATTTCAATTATTTTCAATCTTCTGAATTATTTGAATTATTTGAATTATTTAAATTATTTGAATTGGAAAAGGGTGGTTGAATTGTTATTTGAATTGGAATAGTTGAATTCATTAGTTAATTATTTAAATTATTAAAATTATTTGAATTGTTTAAATTGGCAGACCCCACTGTTCCAATTCAAATAGTTTAAATCATTTTGAGTACATTAGTTGAATTATTTAGATTATTGAAATGGTGGCCAGGGGCCGTTGGGGCTGCCCGATTCAAATTATTTAAATTAATTGAATTGGCAGACCCCCCCCTTTTCCAATGAAATAGTTTTCAAACAATTCAATTCATACACAAGGTACAGTTGACCCCATTTAAATAATTTAAATAGTTAAAAACAAATCAACTATTTAAAGTACTTAAATTTGCAGACCCCGCTTTTCCAACTTAGATAATTTACATCACTGAAATAACTTAAATAATTTAAGTAATTTTAGACTTTTTTGAATTATTTAAAATATTTTTTTAGGGCAGACCCCCCTTTTATTGAATTTAAATAGTTTAAATCATTTGAGTATTTAAGTTAATTACAATATTTAAATAAATTGAATTCTTCAAATTATTTAGATGGTGGCCAGGGGCCGTTGGAGCTGCCCGATTTAAATTACTTAATTATTTTGAATTGGCAGACCCCAATTTAAATAATTTAAATAATTTAAATAATTTAAATCATACACAAGGTACGGTTGGCCCAATTTAAATCATTTTACTTAATTGAACTATTTAAATTATTTAAATGGTGGCCAAGGACCGCTGGAGCTGCCCGATTTAAATTATTTATTTATTTTGAATTGGCAGACCCCCCTTTTTCAATTTAAATACTTTAAGCAATTTAAATCTTACACAAGGTACGGTTGACCCCATTTAATTAACTTAAATAATTTAAATACTATAAATAATTTAAACTGTTTAAAATATTTAAATTGGCAGACCCCCTTTTCTTATTTAGTTAAAAAACAGCTAAATAATTGAAAAAAAGAAAATAATTCAAACTAGTTCAGATTTTTGTATTATTTACATTGGCAGGCCCCCTTTTTCAAATTTAAATAATTTCAATCGTTTGAGTAATTGAATTATTTAAAATATGTAAATTATTTGAAGTATTTACACTTTTTAAATGGTGGCCAGGGGCCGTTGGAGCTGCCCGATGTAAATTATTTAAGTCATTTGAATTGGCAGACCCCCCTTTTCCAATTTAAATTATTATGCATAATTTACATCATACACAAGGCACGGTGGGCCCCATTTAAATAGTTTCAATTATTCAAATAATTAACATGAGTTAACTTGTTTAAAACATTTAAATTGGCAGACCCCCCTTTTCCGATTTAAATAATTTGAATTAGTTAAATAATTCAAATATTTCAACATAGTTTAAGTTATTTAAATTATTTAAATTGACAGACCCACCTTTTCCAATTTAAATTCTGTTTAAACCATTTAAGTATTTAAATTATTCAAAATGTCTTAATTGTTTGAATTATTTAAGTTCTTTAAATGGTGGTCAGGTGCCGTTGGAGCTGCCGGATTTAAATTGGCAGACCCCCCTTTTTCAATTTAAATAATTTAAGCATGTAACATATATAAACTAATTTAGATATATGAGTTTTGTTTAAATTGGCAGATTTCGGCATTTAG